ATCTAAACCCACAAACAAAAAGTAATACGCTGCTCAAAAAAAATTAAAGGAACACTTTGAAAACACATCAGATCTCAATGGGGAAAAAATATCACGCTGGATATCTATACTGATATGGATTGGGTCATGTGTTAGGAACGTAAGGATGCCCCATCATTTGATGGAAATGAAAAATGATCAACCTACAGAAGGCTGAATTCAAAGACACCCGATAATCAAAGTGAAAAAAAATGATGCAGCAGCTAGTCCATTTTGCTCAAGTTTCAACTTAAAATAGTACTCAGCAGTTTGTATGGCCCATACGAGCCTGTATGCATGCCTGATAACGTCGGGGCACGCTCCTAATAGGAAGACGGGTGGTGTCCTGGGGTATTTCCTCCCAGATCTGGACCAGGGCATCACTGAGCTCCTGGACAATCTGAGGTGCAAACTGGTGGTGTCAGATGGACCGAAACATGATATCCCAGACGCCTTCTATTGGATTTAGGTCAGGCGAGCGTGGAAGCCATTCAATGGTATCAATTCCTCCATCCTCCAGGAGCTACCTGCATACTCTCGACACATGAGGCTGGGCATTGTCTTGCACCAGGAGTAACCCAGGACTCACTGCACCAGTGTAGGGTCTGACAATGGATCCAAGGATTTCATCCTGATACCTAATGGCAGTCAGGGTGCCATTGTCTAGCCTGTAGAAGTCTGTGCATCCCTCCATGGATATGCCTCCCCAGACCATCACCGACCTACCACCAAAACGATCATGTTGAACGATATTACAGGCAGCACAACGTTCTGCACGGCCTCTCCAGACCCTTTCATGTCGGTCACATGTGCTCAGGGTGAACCTGCTCTCATCTGTGAAAAGCACAGGGTGCCAGTGGTGGACCTGCCAATTCTGGTGTTCAATGACAAATGCCAATCGAACTCTAAGGTGCTAGGCAGTGAGAACAGGGCCCACTAGAGGACCTTGGACCCTCAGGCCACTCTCATGAAGTCTGTTTCTGATTGTTTGGTCAGAGACATTCACACCAGTGGCCTCCTGGAGGTCATTTTGTAGGGTCTGGCAGTGCTCATCCTGTTCCTCCTTGCACAAAGGAGCAGATATCAGTCCTGCTGATAAATTAAGGACCTTCTACGGTCCTGTCCAGCTCTCCTAGAGTAATTGCCTATCTCCTGGAATCTCTTCCATGCTCTTGAGACTGTGCTTGGAGACACAGCAAACCTTCTGGCAATAGCATGTATTGATGTACCATCCTGGAGGAGTTGGAATGCCTGTGCAACCTCTGTAGGGTCCAGGTATTGGCTCATGCTACCAGTAGTGACACTGACCCTAGCTAAATGCAAAACTAGTAAAAAACAAAATCAGAAAAGATGAGTAGAGAAAAAAAATGTCAGTGGCCTCCACCTGTGAAAACCATTCCTGTTTTGGGGGTCGTCTCATTGTTGCCCATCCAGTGCAGCTGTTAATTTCATTAACACCAAAGCAGCTGAAACTGATTAACAACCCCCTCTGCTACTTAACTGACCAGATCAATACTCCAGGAATTTAAACTGACTTGATGCTATACTCAAAAAGTGTTCCTTTAATTTTTTTGAGCAGTGTATATTGTAGCTTAACAGTCCCTAGATGTTGTGGCTGCACTGGTTTTCACTTTCCATGGTAAGCAAGCTTTCATTTTAAGCAAGTACAGAAATGATCTTGCCAGAAATGTGCTGGCCTTGTCACTTTCAGTAAGCTGAAAAAACAAACCTATCAGTGTAAAGGAGATTAACAAAGCTAGACCTGTTTTAAAGTCTAGCCTTTGTGACAACCATATATACCTCCATAGATATAGAAGAAAAAAAAAAAATCAGTGTAGCAAGGAAGGGACAGGAATTTTGTCACTCACAGGATTGCCTATAAAATGGGAAAAGCCTGAACAAAATGAAAAACAAAAATGCACCCCCCACATCTAGGACTGGTAAACTGCAATTTTTAAATTTTTTGTTTTAGGGTCTAGACACACTAAAGGGTCAATCCATCTATACCTGAAATTGTAATTTTAGCTAGATTCTGGAGTGTTAAAGTCTAGACATCAGATAAAAGTAATTAGTAGGTAGCTATTCAGGAAACATTTAATATGTACCAAGATCAGTCACTTCCGTAAAGCAGTGTGGTAGCAGGCACCTTTCTCCTGCCACTGGAAGCCCCCAAAATCCTTATGTACCTACCAACTATTTGTCAATATCAACATAGGGCTAATTATTCTCCCATCTCTGCATGACAGATGTCAGGCATGGAATTCAGCCATTCAAGTACACAGAACTGAACTGTGGGAGGCAGGAGAAGAGTCACATGTACCCCCATACTGGGAAGTACCGTTTTTCTCAGGCCCCTGGCAGTTGATCAAGTGGTGGTGAAATAAGGCCTGTGCACATCATTGCTCCATGTTGCTTTCAGGTGAAAACTGCAGGAGCACTGACGTACAAAACAGAGACCCCATAACAAAGTAAGAGATGTGAGAGGAGCCTAGGAGAGACATAAGAAACATGCAAGGGTATATATGCCAAAACAGACAACAGGCAGCAAAGTAAGCAAGTATCCAACATTGTGGTATTTTTACAGATGACGACAATTCTAACAAAGAATGCCCTGTACACTAAGGATAAAAGGAAGAGGTTCTGGAGCTATCCAAAGAATGCCAAGCACCTATATTTTATATATATTTATATAAATCATTAACATATGTAAAAATAGTCTCTATAGCTGGCAGCACTGAGGAGTGTATTCTGACGGCAGGGAACTCTCCATAATTTCAGAACACAATAGATCCACAGGAGGGATTCTCTTACATCGAGTGCATTGATGGGGGAAATCAAATAATTGTTTTTTTTGTTCAACCCGCTGGTTAAAAAAAAAAAAAAATGCATCATCTATGGCCTGCCTAAGAGACATTACCCAGGCACTAGGCCACACGGGATGATTAATAGTCAGACAACACAACCTCAAATATAAATTTTTGCTAATTTTATGTAATTAGCACCCATTTACAATTTCAACATCTTAAAATGATAGTTAAGCCTTTTCCTTGATTTATGCCTATAGGTAAGCCTATAATAAGGCTTACCTGTAGGTACAGTAAATATCTCCTCGTTTAGGAGATATTTACTTTAGTATCGCCAGTGACTTCAACCGGCGCATGAGCACTGCACTCTCAATGAACAGCATGCAGTCCACCAAGAAAGCTGTGCAGTGTCTGCGACTCCCATGCAGGAGTGATGTCATCGCGGCTCAGCCATTCAAATGACCAGAGCCTGAGCCTTGTCAACGCACCAATGGAGGGCTTCGTTTTAACATAATTCTTTCATAATGTGCAAGTATGTGATGCATACTAACACAATATGCTCCTAACTTGCAGGGAGAAAATGTGTTTGAGGTTTTTGTTGTTTTAGTACCGCTTTAAAAAAAGGGACCTTCTAAAAAGAGACCTCTTTAAAAAGGAACTTCTAAGCCAGCTTGAATAAATGTCTGACATGTCACAATAGCTATCAATGGTACAATTTTTCAGTAAAACTTATAAAAAAAGCAGACTTTGAGCTCCAGGCACATGACTCTACCCAGGATGAGAGCCTCATCCTCCTCTGGTGATCAGACTTCAGAAACTGTAATTTTGTAGCAAGTCACAAAGTGAAAGGCCACAGTGGGGAGGCTAATCTATGTCATACCTATGTCAACACAACCAAAAAAATGGACTGGTACCAGGATTTACATGACTGTTATGTCATAACCAGCATCTCAGCCAGGCGTTAGATTCTAGCCATAAATTATGTTTGAACAGATATGGTGCCATCCTTTTGGAAGGTAAAGCAGATGAAACATTTTCATGGGGAGTACAGTAATAAATAGCTGTAAGCGTTGGACTTAAGCAGGCCATAGACGTGGGGAAAATCGTCCGTTTTAAAAGTCGAAAATCGGTCGTTCAGACGGCCGACGTTGCCACTAATTAAAAAAAAAAGTCGGCGGGTTTTAGTCCCATCTACGGCCCTCAATTAATATAATAGTGATGTCCCTGCATAGAGTCCCGCTATTATATTTGACAGAAGAAATAGATTATGCAGAAGAAGAAGAAGAAGAGAAACAACATTGTATCTATTTGTACTTGAATAGAAACATCTGTATCCGAAATGCGTACAAATAGATACAATGTTGCAACTTTTTTTCTTCTCCGTCTTCTGCAAGATCTATTTCATCTTCTCCTCTTTTCTTCTATTCTTCTTCTTCTTGATATTCTATTTCTTCTTCTCCTGCAAAATCTATTTCTTCTTTTTCTTCATAGTCAATTTATTGTCAAATCGGCCAGAAGAACGGCCGATTTGACCATAAATTACCGCGAAAATCGGCCGATCTAACAAATCGTTCCAGGATTTTCCAGCTTAGACGATTTTCAAAATCTCTTAAAATTAAGAAAAAACGGCCAACATTTTCCCCCCACTAACGGTAAGAAAATCGGAAATCTATGGCCGCCTTTACTCACTACATAAGCATGCATGTAACATGGAGTCTGCCCCAATTTTTTTATATAATTTATACATGTTTTTGTATTCTATTTTTTGTTAACTATTTTGTAGTATAGATCCACATTTGTCCCAAGTATGTTTGCTTCAGTGATTCTTGTATAAATAGGTTTTTTAAAAAGGCTGTTCCTAACAGTTATAGGGGACTATAACATGCATAGCAAGAGCTGCTGACAGCAGCTCTGCTACACAGACTGGGACCATGGCTGTCAAACTGACATCAGATCCATTCAGATTCAGCTAATTCATTCCATAAAATCGTCAATAAAATGAGAAATTAGTTTTTAGTCATATAAAATAGAAAATTAGAATACTTAAATAAATTAACCTAAAAAATATGTTTTAAAAAGGCAGATAACATGAAATTTTAGGAAGTCACAGTAACTATACTGTATAGTCAAACACAATCCAATTAGTGAAAAGCTAATTCTGAGAATTAAATTGCTCACCTTAAGGTACGACCCATAATACTTTGTCACGTAAGGACTATCACACTGGCTCAGCACTGTAATCTCTTGCTGAATATCTTCTATTTCATCCTCTGCTTCTTCCAAGTCTATGATTTTTATAGCTACAACTTTCTGAGTCCTATTGTCAATCCCTTTGAAAACTTCTCCAAAAGATCCTTTGCCAATCTTTTCCAACTTTCTGAATAGTTCTTCGGGGTCTGCTTTCAGATTCTGGGAAAACAAAGAAAACATGCAGAGTCTAGTAAAATGAATGGTATTTTTAGAAAATACGCATGCAATAAAACCACTCTGATTTTTATATGTGGATGAACTGCTAAAACTCTTATTTGACTTCGCCTTGCAAAGGCAGATCGCCTTTTTTTTTGCATGCCATGACATATCTAGTAGCAGTTTATCACATTCAACTGGACTTGTTCTGTAATGTTAATGATGTTAAGCTACTCATCCAGTCAGCGACTTCGGTTTTAATGAGTGTTAGTAACATACCCCAGCATTTATAGGTAATTCACCTTAATCCAATCACATAAAATGTGTCAAGGCAGATGCTGATTGTCCAAAAACATACAGACTTCTTCCTCAATAGGCACCTCATAAACAAAGGGTGTCTTTGACACCATCTGTTACCAGCATTTAATGCAGTTTTAACATCTCTTCCTAGACAACTTGACTATAATTCACACCTTCACTCATGTACCTTGAGGAATTATCTCCAGGGGGCTTCATTGCATGGAAATGACTGCACAATATAATTGTAACAGAGTGATTTCACAAACTTTTTATATTAACCATCATGTTTTTGGACAATTAACATTTGCTTTCCACTCCATGGTGGTTGGCTTAACGTGACTAGTGTCCATGTGAATGTAAATGCTGGGGTATGCTCCTGAGACCCATTAGAACTGAAGAAGCTATGGAGCATGTCTCCAACATTTCAGAACAAGTCCAGATCAATGGAACTACTACTGACTATACCATGACCTGAATGAATGAGAACCACCTACACAGACAAGTCATGTGGAGATTTCCATCCATATGTCCATATGTTATTATACAGGTTTTTAGAGAGAAGGTTAACAAAACCACTCAATGCCACAGGGAAACATGAACTCCAGCAGATAGATCTCCTCATTGGAGCCAATGTGATTATGTGAGGAACCAGTGGACGATTTATTCTATGGAATTAACTGGAACTGGACTGACCCCTCACACTTACAATATTATATAGATTAATAATCTATATGTTAAACATGCACTTGACCAAGTGATGCCATGTTACTTCATATATACACACACCTTTATTTGTTGCATTAATCATGCCCCAGTACCCCTTCTGCTGCAGGAATAGCCAGATATTAACAGCTGTAAATATTTGGCACCCAACCCCAATTCGGCAGCAAGAGACGAATGATGGTTGGAATTTACATTTTATGCCACTTAACTAAATTTTATTATCTATTACGTAAGCTTAATACCAGTGAGGAAACCCTTTGGCCTTCAACAAAATGCCTTAAATATTCCTTAGAGATGCTACTACAACAGTAAGAGATAGTAGTTATTTGTTAGTCACACATTCATGCCATGAACATTCCATTCTGCCTCATCCCAAAGGCTTGAAGAGAACTTCCAAACTCCAATTACTGAAGATATGGAAAAAAAACTGCACCAATGACAAAAATGTAAAACATTTTCCTTGACAAGTAGTGGCGGTATCCAATCGAAATATGTCAGGATAAGAAGGAGGTGATGTCACCAGTACAGAGCCATTGCTGTACAGCAGTGGTCTCCAAACTGGGGTTGGATATATCCCTTTGCTTACAATAGTATAAATACACAGATTGCGCTCGTAGATCTAACGGAAGCAGCTAGCAAAAACAATTAGATGGATTCTATGCAAACTTCTATATATACACTATATTGCCAAAAGTATTGAGACACCTGCCTTTACATGCACATGAAACTTAATGGCATCCTTGTCTTATACCTGCAAAGAGTAGGCCAACTCAATATTGAACCCTACAGACTAACAGCTTCAACTCTTCTGGGAAGGCTGTTCACAAGGTTTAGGAGTATGTCTACGGGAATGTTTGACCATTCTTCCAGAACTGCATTTGTGAGGTCAGGCACTGATGGTGGACGAGAAGGCCTGGCTCACAGTCTCTGCTCTAATTCATCCCAAAGGTGTTCTATCAGGTTGAGGTCAGGACTCTGTGCAGGCCAGTCAAGTTCCTCCACCCCAAACCCGCTCATCCATGTCTTTATGGACCTTGCTTTGTGCACTGGGCACTGGTGTGCAGTCATGTGGGAACAGGAAGGGCCATCCCAAACTGTTCCCACACAGCTGAGGGCATGAAATTGTCCAAAATGTCTTGGTATGCTGCTGACACCATAAGAGTTCCCTTCATTGGAACAAAGGGGCCAAGAACAACCCCTGAAAAACAGCCCCACATCATAATCTCCCCTCCACCAAACTTTACACTTGGCACAATACAGACAGACAAGAGCCAGTCTCTTGGCAACCGCCAAACCCAGATACATCCATCAGACTGCCAGACAGAGAAGTGTGATTCGTCACTCCAAAGAACACATCTTCACTGCTCTAGGAGATTGGAATATCTGACTCCAATGATTTGGAGGGGTGTCCCAATACTTTTGGCAAAATAGTGCATATATTGCTGCACTATTATAAGTGACAAATGATAAATCATAAACACAATGTTCAAAGTGGTTCATGTGATCAAAAAAAAAAAAAAGAAAATGTGTGAAAATACAAATAAAAGTCTCAATTGTGTTTAGAATCATAAACAATAGTGAATAAAAGCGTGTACAAGTGCTTGTAAACATATGATTGTCTTCTGGGACTGGTATTCATATGTTTACACACGCTTGTACACATTTTTATTTGTGAGTAGTTAGATTACTTTTCTTTATAAATACAAGTTTACAGTTTTACACTATGTGAGCTTCCATACCGTTCTTTCATATTACGATTGGCAAATCCATATTACTGGATGTGATGTCCCATTCAGTATATGGAGAGATGTGGAGGTGACACCAAGGGGTTTATTTACTAAAGCTGGAGAGTCCAAAATCAGACTCCCTTCTGCATAGAAACCAATCAGCTTCTAACCTCAGCTTGTTCAATGAAGCTTTGGCAATGAAACCTGGAAGCTGATTGGTTTCTATGCAGAAGGGAGTCTGATTTTGGACTCTCCAGCTTTAGTAAATAAACCCCCAAGTGTGCTATTCAGTCTTGACGGCTTTATGTGGCAATGTGGAGGAAATAATGGGTACACTACAGAAGATTTATTCATTCACACGCTCTCCTGATTCTCTTTAACAACATGGTAAAAAGCCCATAGTGGTGGTATGGCCCTTTGCTTGCCTTTATTCGACCCTTGAGGCATTATTCCTGCCACTGACACCACCAACGGGGAATAAGTCCTTCCACTGACACCAATGATGGGGCGTAATTCTTTCCGCTGACAACAATGAAGCACTATTCTCCCACTGACACCAACTATTTCTCCCCCTAATATCAAAGATCGGGCATTGTATACTCCCACTGTGCACAGTCTCGCCCCCCCAAAATCTGAAGGACAGTAAACTGGACCTTTCTTTAGAGAGTTTAGAGAGCCCTGCTGTAGAGTGTATACTATCATCAGTTTTTTTTACTATTATATAAAGGCTGGTTGTCAGTAGTCTGGGCCCAGCTTATTTGTGTTAAGTTGATTAGTGCTCCTATTGTACCTGTCATTAGACACGCACATGCTTGCACCGCATTACCAGTGCTCCTATTGTACCTGTCATTAGACACGCACATGCTTGCACCGCTTTACCAGTGCTCCTATTGTACCTGTCATTAGACACGCACATGCTTGCACCGCATTACCAGTGCTCCTATTGTACCTGTCATTAGACACGCACATGCTTGCACCGCATTACCAGTGCTCCTATTGTACCTGTCATTAGACACGCACATGCTTGCACCGCTTTACCAGTGCTCCTATTGTACCTGTCATTAGACACGCACATGCTTGCACTGCATTAGCAACATTGAACCAACAAAGCTCAGAAACACCATACAGCTGGCAATATAGAGTGAGTGTCTTGTTATATTTTATTGTTCTACATGTCATTTATTTCTTTTATGATCATTTTTGTACAAAGGATTTGTGTGTGAGTGCTGTCGGAATTGTTTATAGAAGTTCACATCAGCCTGGTTTGGCCCATACTGTGTGTTTAAAATGACAGTACTCTCATGGATTCTATACTTCATTCAAGCCACCCAGTCTTAGTCCCTGCTTTTATTTACATTTCTCACATTCATTGGGAATGTACTGTACATTCTCAGTCATTCCACCTTAACCCACCCTGAACTATTTATCGAAACTGGCCTGACATGTACTGTACCCTCCACTACAAAGCCTGTACCTCCACTGTCAAAGCTATTCTGGCTATACTTCTCCTATAGACCTATAGCTCACAGGAGTCCAATTAGATCTTCACTTTTCATCCACCCAGATGCCTAGACTGGCAGATGCCCCCACCTCACATGCGCAGTGCTCCAGTGAGCACTTAAAGGACAGAGCAGAGAGCTATTGATTGAGTCACCAGCTCTCTGCTCACTGAAGACTGAAAACTGCGTGATCAAGCAGTGTTTGATCGCTCAGTTCTCAGAGTAGAGCTGGCAGGGAACAGATGCAACACCATATCGATGAGAAAAAAAAAAAAAAAAAGATTTTCCCTTTTAAAAGTCAACAATGTTTTATGCTTGCCCCCAGGGAGTTATGTACTTGTGTTCATAAGGAAATAGAAGGCCTGGAAAATTTCACCACACATTTTCTGGTCATATAAAAATATTTGCCCTTTTGGCACCCAGAAAATATATCATTCACCAGATCAGAAACTAGGAGTACAGAAGACAGGCGACACAAAAAACTAAGAGATAACTCCCCTTAACCACTTCATGTCCGGACACTTTCACCCCCTTCCTGTCCAAGCCAATTTTCAGCTTTCAGTGCTGTCGCACTTTGAATGACAATTGCGCGGTCATGCAACACTGTACCCATATGAATTTTTTAGCATTTTTTTGAGACAGATAAAACTTTATTTTGGTGGTATTTATTCACCACTGAGATTTTTATTTTTTTGCTATATAAATAAAAAAGTCCAAAAATTTAGAAAAAAAAAAAAAAGTGCTTTTCTTATAA